CTGATTCGTCGCTGAAAGTATCCCTCGCATATCTGTTGCTGAATTCCACCACTGATGGCATTACCTACGAGCATTTGACCGACAGAGTAATAACGATGGATCAGCAACTGATGACCATTTTAGCGACGAATTTACAAGGGAAATTTCTCTCGCTGATACTCTGCATTTTTGTAGTGTAGGCAGCTAATTCTCGTCCTAATAAGGTTGATTTTCAAAATGCTTTGCGCTTACCACCCCTACCGTCTTTCCGATCGTGTTCGAGTAGAGCTAGCAAATGGGTTGAGTAAATAAATAATTTCCCCGAATGTGTTTATATACAAATGTATATTTGTCTTATTGGTGTCTTGCAATCGACATGTTGATCGATCAAGGAGAACTCATTCACCCATAGAGCAAAACTTGTGTTTCTCGAACCTGTCATTTCGAAACAAAGTTAGTGCTAAAAAAACTAGTGTTTATAGAACTAGTCGTTTCGAAACATACTTTATGCTAATATAAAACCATACAGATATAACCTATTGTTTATATGATAACCACAACAACAAAATCGGGTTTATAGGACACTCCCAATTTCTAAGATTCCTAATAGACTTCTTTATAGGACTTAGTTTATAAGACCAAAAAAATAAAGCGTCCTATCTAAAGGTGTTGTAATAAGTTTATATGACGTTTTTTGATGTCGTAATAAGTTTTTTATGACATTTTTAATATAAAACGTCAAATTAATAACTTTATAGGACACTCTTTGAAAAAACTGTCCTGTAAAAATAAATGTCCTATAAAAAATTGAAATTATAGGACACTTTTGATAAAGTTGTTAATACGACACTTTGTATTAAAAATGTCATAAAACGCTTGTTAAGACGCCTAAAAGCGTCATATAAACTTATTACAACACCCTTAGATATGACGTTTTATATTTTGTTCCTATAAATTAAGTACTATAAAGTGTTCTGTTGGAACACTTAGAGATTGAGAGTGTCCTATAAACCCAATTTTGTTATAGTTAACTAATCCAATATTTTTCTCTTGTTGTAGAAAAATGTTGATCAAACTGGAATTCCTGATCTTGGATGCCTCCGGAAAGAACTATTTGGACTGGACTCAAGATATCCATGACCATCTAAACCCTATTACATGTCATTTATGACAAGAATGATCGTGAAGTTGAAGTTACTCGCAAAATGAATGCAAAGGTGAGGATATTATTTCGTCATCACATTTCAGACACAATGAAGTCTAAGGTGGCGTTTGTTTTTTAAGAGGTGCTGAAGTCTGAARTCTGAATTCACTTCTGATTTTTAAGAGGTTGTGCTGAAGTCTGAAATCTGAATCAGTCAGACTGTTTGTTTTTTGCGTCTGAAATCTGAAGTTTGAAGATGAGAGATCGAGAGTTGATACAGATCGACTGTAGATAAAGTTGAGAGATGAGAGATCGAGACAGAAGAGTTGATCTAGAGAAATCGAGCGCAAAAAGATCAGAGTAGGTAGGCGACGATTTGAAATAAGAGGTAATAAGAGGTTTCACAACCACTTAAATTTTCAGACCTAATAAGAGCTTTTAAGCTCTTAATTGAAAAAAAAAAACAAACACACTGAATCCTCTTATATCTGACCGATTCAGACTTAAGAGGACATTAAGAGCTTTTTTATTAAAAACAAACAGCCCCTAAATTTATAACAATCACCTCATCGAAGATGTTATAAGACTCTCTGAAAGAGTGCTTTGACCATCAAAAGACCATACGGCTTCTTGAAGCCCGCCAAGATTGGTTAAATTTGTGACTCCAAGACTTTGCTACCATTACTGAGTATAATGCTAAAGCGTGTAAAATCCGTTTTCTTCTCCACGACTTTGGTGAACATTTGATTGGTACTAATTTATTAGAGAAGACGTACACCACATTTTCTAGCTTTGACAACTTGCTTGAAAAGCAATATCTTCAATCCAAGTTCCAAACATTCCCTATACTCAATTATTATTGGATGGGAAAAATAACATCGTTTCAATGAGAAATAACAACTCTCATCCTGTTCGGACAAAGACATTCTAGTGCGTAATGCGAATACTATTTGTGGTCCTCGCCCGAGATCCAATTAATCGTAATGGGCCTAAAACTCACCACGCCAAGGGCGGTTCGAACACTTATTCGTACCAGTGATCTATGGCCCCTAGGAGATTAATCTCGTTCTAGGAACTACAACAATAAGGCCAGTCGTCCCAAAGCAAGAGATGATGATAATGAAAAAACTGTATGTTATAAATGTGGTGGTTATGGTCATATGCAACGGACTTGCAAGGAAAATCTCGAAGAAGTTGAAAACTATTACATGGGGAGAAAAAGCCGAAACAAATGTTGTCGAAGCAAAAGGGAATGAATTCCTTTTGACCCTTGATTAATCGAGCAATTGTTTATTAATTTAGATTATATTTTTTAATTGGATATTGACTGTCTCTTTTGGATTATGGTTTTGTTTAATTTCTGAATAATTTTTTCTCGAAATTATTTAAAGTTATTTCCTTGTGGAAATCTTTTATTAGTGTGACTGATTTTAACTTCTTTTTTTTAACTTTTAGGCATACATTGTGGGGCAATTGATTGTGTGTTATTTGATCAATTTTACCTCTAAAATAACCTCAGTAACAACAATTTCGGACCCCTTGACCCTTGTTGAACTTGAAGGCTTTGGTAAAGCCGAGTTCATGGTGTCATATAGTACTATTTTAACCATTTTTTAGGCCTTATATTCTCTAAGGTCCAGTTAGGGCTGTAAACGAACCGAACGAACACGAACAAATGCTTGTTCATGTTCGTTCGTTTAACTTAATCAAACAAATGAACGAACACGAACGGTAAACGAACGAAAATCTTTGTGTTCATGTTCGTTTGTTTAGAAATCAGGTGTGTTCATGTTCGTTCGTTAACATGCTAAACGAACGTAACCAAACGAACATAAATAAATATTATTTGAATTCAAAATAAATAAACAAAAGATTATATATTAAATTTAGTACATAAATGAACATAAACGAACGAATATACACGAACGTAAACGAACGGTAAATGAACGAACGTTCACGAACATAAATGAACGAACGTAAACGAACGGTAAATGAACGAACGTTCACGAACATAAATGAACGAACGAGACTCTTGTTCATGTTCGTTCGTTTAACTAAACAAACAAAAAAATGTGTTCATGTCCGTTCATTTATTAATAAACGAACATAAACGAATTTCCCGCCGAACAATTTGCCAAACGTTCAGTTCGTTTACAGCCCTAGGTCCAGTGGCACCTTGTTGAGTTTTCAGGATATTCGAGAAAACAAGTTTCACACTAAAATTGCTAGAGTTCATTGTTTTTGTTCCTTCACAGTGTTTTGCTGTGACGGTTCAGTGTAATTTTTGTCGTCTCATGGGTCTCACAAAAACAGACTAATCTCACGAGAACCCAACCCTATATGAGTAAACTCGGCGATACATAATCCGTTGATAAACAAATCACTATATTATAACCAGTTATATAACAACAAATATTGGTTGCTATAATAAGGACATGTTGAAAATAGTACTAAGAAAAGGTTTCGTTGTAAAAGTGTGTTGCGAAGACCTTAAGAATACGACCAAACTAGTAATCTCGATCTTTCAAATTTTCAAAACAAACCAACCAAATTTTTTTGCCCAACCAGTATAACGGGTTGGCAACGACCAATTAGTTTGATACACATCTTAATTTATTGATGATATTCTCATTTAACAACGACCATTAGGGTTTATAAACTGTTTTTGGTTGTTATTTTGTCTTTATTGACGATGGTAGATCCGAACACTGTAATTTCATATGGGTATTTTATAATTTGTCGGTTTTAAACACCACCACCTATGGGTCATCTTTTTCGTTGCTACTGGCGGTACATCTATGCGTTATAGTCTCAGGGATTTCTTCTTTTCATAACAGTCAGCTTTTTGATTTCTCGAGCTTCCCAGTTTGCTCGTTCGATTAAAAAAGATCAATAAAGATTAGTTTCATAAAGGAAAAAAAACATCATTTTCTCCAAAAAGCTTGTCTAACCATGAGTTACATGGATTAATTAACATGGTATCAAGATGAAATGTGGGTTGTCAACAACATTGGCTTTTTTATTAAGAGATATGATTGACACAATACCTTTTATTGGCTTAACACAAACTAGTTTGATAAGACATCACAATTTCCCTTGTATTTCTTTTTGGTTTAAACTTACAATCGTCTTAATTAGTTTACGGATTATTACCATCTGTAAATGTTGGGTTCAAAGCTGTGCTTATTATTGTATTCAAGCTGTTTCTCCATTTCTCCATTTTGTCTTTAAAGCTTTTTTAGTATAAATAGTATTTCCCCTGTAATTTTAGAAGTCAGTCTTAATCGTCATTAATTTGTAATCACTTTGTAATCTTCAAAAGATTGAATACAAATCCTTTGGTGAATTTTATCTGATTTGAAGATTTGGGATTCCCAGTAAAGGATGCATAAACTAATAGATTTCTAAAGGTCATCTCGATCACATCGATCCTAACCCTGTATGTCAGCTCTACCGATTCAATCAGGTAAACGGTACATAGATCAAATCAAAACAATCAAGCACCACCTTTGTCGTTACAAATCTCTTTTATCAACATACGATATAAAAAAAAATTCATAAATCGTTTATGCATCTTGAACATAATACAAATCACGTGACCAACCGTCCCTAAACTTTATGTTCCTTTACGTTTCATTAATCAACCTCTGAAACATCGTTACATTAATTACCATCTTTCTTTAATGAAACGGATGTGTAAGACGAGGTTGATTAGTGGACACGAAGCGAACGTGAAATTTAGGGTCAGATGATTTATATATCCGTCGGACGTTTGGTACTCCGAACGATATTTGAATGTACAATAAAGATCATATATGGGTTAAAATCCCTTTTGATCAATAAGCTATAAAGAAGTAAGTAAAGCAGTAGGTACATATCAAAGCCTGAGAGACAAGTCAAGCTGGTTAAAGCCATCATCAACCCTCTGATCACCCTTGTAACCATAACCCATCTCTCTTCTTGTTTCACCTGAACCAAACAGTTGCAGACCTTCGATCCCCACCACCGTGGGCGGCTGCACCGGTTCAACATGGCTAGAACCATTGGAACCGAACCTGGATGGCATCTGGTTCCATTCCGAATGATATCTAGCAGCTGACAAACTCATCTCTCGGCTTTTCTTGGCTAAGGTTCTTTCGAGCTTGTGAGCGTTTTGGTGGCCTCCGAACGCTTGTGGGCTGTAGAATTTTCTTCTGCAATAACTGCACGAGAAAACGCGCTGATCGTTGTTGTGTAAAGAGGACAACAACGATGAAGAAGGTAAATTGGGATCGCGAAAGATTTCTATGTCGAGCTCGTTTTCCGGTTGGTGTAGGTTTAGGAAACTCATGGCTATACGAGTTTGGAGGTTCGAAGATTATTAGGTTTATATAGAAATGGGTTCGTGATAGAGATTGAAAGTTAAACAGGGTTGGGTTGAATTATATCTATATATACTATATATTATAAAGTATTTGACAAAAACTCTTAAAAACCATTTTTTATGCGTAAAATATTGTTTATTAATGCATATTACTTAAAACTCAAGATTGCAAGTAGATTGTGCGTAAGTATATTAAAGCTTCATATCTGAATTCGTGTAACTAACTACAAATAAACATAATCAAATACAGAATAAACATTTCATTCTAAATATAAAAAATCTAAAATATAATTAGGATAATTATTGAGTTCTAAGAGAATACTTAATTATTATCTTTATAAAATATTATATTATTAAAGCAAAAATAAATTATTTCATTATTAAACTTAAATTAAATTATAATAAAAAAATAAATTAAAGAAATTACATAAAAAATGAAAACTTTTAAATAGTTGATTTGATATTAACATTGATATATTTTTTTTCAAATTTTTATAATATCTTCAAATTTATATTTTATTCAAAAATAAAATCATTATTGTTTTCTTAAAAACATATAAAATCGTATTATAACATCGACAAAGATAGATAATAAAATAGAACATTAAAATCGAGATGTGTCTCGCTGCATTGCGCAAGTACTCTTTTAGCATTAAAAAAAGACAAAAAAATGAAATGAATTAAACTTAAAATTTAGGTTAAAGTAGGGTTATCTTGTAGGACTAAATCGAACCGTATGGATCGAACTGGAACCGAAAAATATGAGAAACACGGAAACGAGAACCAAACCGATTCCGTCTTAAATCAGACCATGAACCAGATTGATTGTTGTGCTAGTAATTCAACCAAAATTACATTGTTTCACTAAAAAAATCATGTCTGGATTGAACTGGACATACCAAAAACCGGCTTTTTATTATAATCAGAACCAAATACCAGATGAAGTATATATATATATATATATATATATATATATGTTCACCGGTTCCAACTCGGTTTTACAATTTCGTACTTAGTTTTGCATACTCCTACATAAGACGATGAAACGATATTTTCTCTTCAAAATTTTAATGTTAGATCTTGATAACATTAACTGAATCTAAATTATTTGAAATAGTATCGTTTACATGACAAATTTTTTACGTTAAAATCAGTAGACGGTTAGAATTTTTTTTCCACTTTCGTTATCAATCAAGTGGTAACAAAAAGTGGAACCCCTAATTATTTATTGCAAAATATGTGCTTTTAACATATTTTAAAATATTGTTACATATAAATTCTACGAAATCCAATAAAATACCAACCATCCAGTGGAATTTCAATTCCAATGTTTGTGGGATTTAAATCAAGCAAGGATTTCAAACCGAACATGGCATTGGATTAAATTCAATTCCAAATCAAATCTAATCTTGCAAATCAAACGGGTCGTAAATCTTTCAAAAACATTTCGTCAAACCAAAGGTGTCATAAGAGTTTTTACCACCATCTTGTTTAACGTAACCTCACAACGAAGGTTGTCATAATGCTACGACATTGGTGTAACGCCGTAGAGCTATTTTCCCGTAACTCGATGTCTTGAAGTATTATCAAAGTAAAAAAGATCGTGTTATATGAACACCCGATTCTATATCATGGTGTATAGTATGAAAATCATCGATTGATTTCGTTTAAATACAAACACAACGTTTATGATTTAAATCGAATCCCCGAAAACGTACAAAGCATCGTTTGCCCATTCGACAATTGACGGACATGAAACGAACTCGAAAAAAATTAACAAAAACACATTTTTAATATTAATTTTTGATATCATCATCTAATTCATGTTTCCACAAGTATAGCAAATGGGAGAGTGTTATCTGAGAGTGGGTGATCGAAGTGCTTGTTGCCTCCATTAATGGCAGCTTTGGAGTTGCATGGTTCATCATCAAAACGAGGTCGTCTTGATTTTACAAAACTAAAGGTTGTAATATGATATTGATTAATTATAACGCTTCATAGCGTGTTTGTAAATATAAGGGGTTGTTTGTTTAATAGTTCGATTAAGAGGTAATCTGAATCGTTAAGAGGTGAATCTTGTTTGGTAAAAAAAAAGTCTGTCTTTTAATGGTTCTAAAACCTTCTTAATGGTTCTAAAACCCTCTGAATGATTTTGTATCTTAAGCATCCCTTAACCATTAAGCGCCCTAATTTCATTGTAAACAATTACCAAACAATTATATTTCATTTTGCACTATATTATGAAAGCCTCTTAATCATTCTGATCATTTAATCATTTTGCACCCAACTATTCAACAACTGTCCAACAACCCCTAAGATTATTGATGAAAAAATTGATAAATTTAAAAAAGACGTAAGGTTTAGTTAACAATAATTATGTCTGTTATAGATGGGCGTCATTATAGAGTGATAAATTGCACTGGTTTACTTTTGTTTTTAAGTTTAGCCACTGTTCAACAGTTGCTGAATGATTTGATGCTGAATAATTAAGTAGTCAGAATGATTAAGAACTTTTATGATATAGTGCAAAATGAAATATAACTGTTCGGTAATTGTTTACAACGGAATTAGGGCGCTGAATGGTTAAGAGAGACCTATGATACAAAATCATGAAAAGAGTTTTAGAACCGTTAAGAGTCAGACCTTTTTTTTTTTTGTCAAACAAGATATATCTCTTAAAGATTCAGAGGTTTTCTCTAAATAAAACTATTAAGAGGTAAACAAACAACAAGAAATATATTGGAAAATCATTGAGTGTTTGTAACAAATTGTCAATCTTGTCCTACAAAATTAGAGGAGCTAAACCCTATCTAATCATGGGAATCAATCAAGAGACAATTTGTGATTAGATCAAATTGTTTCAAACACCTTTAAATCTTGTACTCATATTTCCAGATTTAGTAATAATATTCCAATCCTACTTAATTTGGTCAAATAAAATTAATGACAATATTGCTTACTTTTCTTTTATTTTAGGGCCGTTTACCAAACACTTGCTCGGATAAGTGAACACCAAGTTACATTACCTTACCGGATGAATATGGTAAAGACCAAAAATCTTACTCGGTAAGAGCGTGACAAGGACCAGAAGTCTTATCCAGTAAGTGAAGGCGACGACTCTTACCACGATAAGAGCTTACCGGGTAAATTGTTGCATACGATACCGTTTTGGTGGACTGAAATCTTACTCGGTAAGCAAATGATAATATTATATTTTACCGGTAAACGTTACTAAGTTTGGAAGCAGATAAAAGTCGTTGTCACTCGACAAAGGATTATCTTAAAACAAGTTTTTATATTTGTGAGCAAAACATTTTTAGTGACTTGCAATGAATTTGTTGTTTGTTGACTAATTCACATTCAAATTTAGTGATACAAAGGATAATAATCAGTATAAGAAAAAACTACAGGGAAATTTTTTTTAATCAATGGCACCGTTTGACTATAAGAAACAAATATACGGAATCTTTTTCAATCGTTCACCATTTGACTAAGAAAATGACACTAACACGATTTGAACTTGGGTCTGGGATGGAATAAAAGCCTTGCAAACCAACTCTATCAAATAACACTTGTTCTCATTGTAGTTTTAAAATACATACGGTGACACACAACAGATTAATATGATTGCACCTTTCACGAACTTAAATTTTTTTACCCTTCGACGAAGAAATAATATAGTGACATGTGCCACTGTAACCACCAAAGTATCAAACAAAATTATGATTGTTTCATTCTTTATTCTTATGAATTCTTCCAAATCATAATTTAGAGGCATTTGTTTCTATTATTTTTGAAGTTTTGCAGCGTCCGAAAAATATATTAAAAGACATCAGTTTCTACTATTCTAAAGATTTCAGCGTTTGTCAAAGCCATAATGTGTTCATTAGTCCAACCCAAGGTATCTAATGACGTGAGACGTGACATGACGGTGAAGTCAAACCTCAAGTCTTACGAGTTACGGCGATGTCACGACATTTTTCAAGGAGTGCCTAAGACGACATACACACACACACTTGTGTGTGCTAATCAGTATTTTGAATAATATTGTAGAATAAATTAAATTCATATAAACTAATAAAACTAAAAAAGAAAGAGGAACTATTGATACTAAATATATAAAGCGTATAAAAAAGGACTCAGTAGTGGAAAATCAGGATTAAATCTCTTGAATATCTGCTCACTGTTTTATCCAATTTTCAATTAACTGGTGTTCGACTCTTCGTATATGGGAATGAAAGTGAGTATTTACCTATTTAGGGTTTTAGTTTTTTTAAGTTTCCTTTTTTAGTCAGGTCTTAGGTCAATTATATAATTATCATTTATCCTCAAGTTGTATATTAAAAAATCAGGCCCGTTCCTGATGGAGGTCGGGCTGGGCTTGTGCCCAGGGCCCATGGAAAATAGGGGCCCTCAAAATAGATAGTTATGTATTATATGTTATAAAATGTTTAGTGTTATAAAATTAGGCCTAACATGTGTTAAGACCAAAAGCCTTTGAGCCCAACCCCAAACTTAATTGAAGTTTTAACCAATCAGATTGAAAAGTGACAATTGAGAAACCAAGAAGATCTCTTCGTCTTCCTTCCTTCTACTTCGCGTCGCACGTATCCGAGAAACCTGCTCAAGCCGATGCCGATCTTCCTATTTCTAGCAACGGTATGCAATCATGATGGAAAATCCGTAGATTTTCTTGCAATGCTAATCTTTAATTTATGGTTCTTTATATCTTTCGAGTTTGATTCGATACTGACGGATTGGTCTAACTTTTCTCCAATCTCCAACATCTGAATTTTCAAATCCCACTTCTTGATTCTAAATTTCTAATTCGATATTGTGATTTCAACAGTCAATTTCCTGTTCAATTGCTCTTCATTACAAGAAATCGAGAAATCAAAATCGAGATTCTTGTCCGGAAGGTAAGCTTTTGCGTAAATGTTAATTATTAATTTGATGTTTTTGCTAAT